TCATTTAAATCCAACATTTTCATTTAGGATGAACAGTATCACTAAGGTTTCACAGCCAGCGAGTGACAAGTACAGACGGAAATCATTCATTCCATAACCCACAATAATTCCACAGCACTGTTTTAATCTTCCCATTGCTTCTCTCACAGTGCCTGCAAAATAAACCAGAAATTCTCTCACCATATCTTCAAGATCAAATTATTCATCCTTCACCTGTTTCCCCACCTATTTCTCTTTGACTTTCCTTTGTCCCTCAAACATAACAACCTCTTCCCCTTCACACAACCTTCCCACTATCTTCTGTGGAACCTTTTCATGGTGGCTAACTTATTCTCCTCACTGAAAACTCAACCTTCTTAAAGAGACATTGTCACACCACTATGCCTAACCCCCATCCTACTATAATTTCTCAGGCAATTATTCTGATTTATTTTCTTCAAAGAGTGCATTTTTCTTTTATTTGTGCACTTACTTCCTTCTTTTCTTATCTTTCTGCAATGTATACTCTATAAGCCCAGCAAACAAGTTTGGCTTGTTTATTGTTCCTAGAACAGTGCTGGCATATAGGGTGCTTTAAAAAAAAAAAAAGACATTTCCCATAGTTCTTCTGTGGAGCAGCTGTTGGATTCAAAGTACAACTCCCTACCAGCTAGGTCACCAGAGTTCCCTAGGGAATTATTATAATAGCATTTTTCCGGTTGATATAGAAAAGATTTTCAAAGTAGGCTACTATTTTCCCAACATTTGTTATTTGAGCAAATTGCATATTTTTCAAAAAAATCCAAGGTACTTTTCCTGTGCAAATAGAATATTGAGAGGATACTATTATGTAAGTTGTTATGTACAGAAGTAGTTGCCTTTGTGTAATATGCTATCATATAAATAACCTATATTCTGTTTATTCATGTTCCTGCTTAAGAACATTTGAGGTTTTGGGTTGGTTGATTTTTTCTTTTAATAAAGCTATTGAACACTCTTAAAAAAATATGTGCTAAATTAAATGCTAAACTAAGGAAATATTAAAAATTCATCACGAATGGGACACTGGAGAGTAAAAAATTAAAAAAAAAAGGGAAAAAATTTTTTTACCCAGAAGGACTAAAAACCTGGTGATTTCAAACAGTTAATTTTTCTACCCTATTTCACAGCCATTACATTTGCTTGGCAACTAGCAGATTCCTGAAGATTAGGTCATCTGATTTTCAAAAACGGTCATCAACTCTGATTGAAATTTATTCATTGGTCAAATTTTTAAGTCTTTTTATTTGCCTGAGACAGATCCTGTTTATTATACCTGTTGTCCTTCCATAATCGTTAGCATTGTTCTTCTTTTGTTCGCAAAAGTATTTTAGCTTAAAGGACAAATGTTATGGTTACCCTATTCGATGACTAGCCAATTTGCAGTAATTCAGAATTATTACTACTTAGAGGGAACTTTGGTGGTGTGGCCTGTAGAGCCTGGTAACCTAAAGGCTGTGGCTTTCTGGTGTTTTTAATCCACCAGAAGTTCTTTGAGAGAAAGATGGGCAATATTGGTCGCATCAATTCAGGAAAATGAAATAGGGGGTTATATCTCTGGAAAATGTAACTTTCTAAATTAAAAATGGGAAGGGAAATGAGTAAACAGGACCCCCCAAGTTCTAATTGCCGAAGAGCATTTATCAGAGTATGCTCAAGTGCTTCAAGAAGTACAAATAGGAGTTATATGCAAATTATAACAGAGTTCCAGACCTCTTCACTTTCCTAAAAAGTTCACCGGCCTTTCTTTACTGTCATGGTTCCTATTTTACAAGTGAGGAGATTGAAGCTTTGAGAAGTTAAATCACCCAGTCAAAATTTCAGTCTCCCGCCACTAACACATACTTGTTTCCCAGATAAACCAGGAAGCAAGGAATCAACCAATGGAGTAAATACTTTAATAAATGTCCTGTGGTTAGGATAATTTGGGAAATGCCAGTTGAAACTATTTTAAGTGTGCTACTTTCATATTGGACATTTCTGTGTTTGCAACCTACCTTTGAGTGGTACAAACAGTTTACGAGCTTATTGATAATAAAAGACTAAAGGTCAGGTCCTCACAGAGGGTTCTTGGGAAGAAAACCTAGCAAACTATTTCTGAAAAAGTCAGCCTAGGTGCACAGTTATATGTCCTCTAACACACTGGTGGTCACTATGAGGCAGAGTCCACGCGATAACAATTGCAGGTATAACACATGGCCAGGAGCTGGAGAAATCTCTAAGGGAGAGATTCTCTACGGAGCAAAATGTTTCCCCTACTAATTGGAACCCTTTATTGTGAGGAGAGAACCAAGCTCTGCAGAACAAACTAGGAAATGCTACCCTAAAACCCCAACAGGGCCAGCTCCCCACCTGTGTAAACATAACTGCACACACTGAATCCAAGTTAGGATCCTTCTTTCAGGAACTCCACATTTTCTCAAGCCATGAAAAGGAGAGGAGATGACCCCTGGACCTCTGGGCTTCATGACCCAGGCCACCTTTGTATGTTCATCACAGCTTTTAATCACCTTTTTTTGTCCTATTTTACTTCCCATATGGAATTGTATAGGTTTTTGTTTGTTTTTCCACCTCAGTTCCTTTTATAAGCCTACATATCTCCATAAGTAACCAATAAAGTAGTTTTAAACCATGTTCTTAATGCATTTTAATAGTGAACATCCCCTAACCATTGAGAGTGAAAGCGCTCTGGTGGTGTAGTGCATTAAGCTGCTAACCAAAAGGTCCTTGGCTTGAATTTACCAACAGCGCTGGTGCAATTGTGGCAGTCTTCTCTTATAAAGTTACAGCCTCAGAAACAAAAGAGGGTCATCATGAGTCTGAATCAACTAGAAGGGTTTGATTTTTATATATTATATTTATTACCGTTGGAAGTACAGAATTTGAACCTAAAAATGGAAAGACTTCTCATAAGGGAGCACTGGTGTCAGGAGTGCAATCCATAGTTGCATTACTAACCCCAAAAGCCTAGCTTTTCTGATGGTCAAAAGACACTGGTGGTTCCCAGGGGGAAAGATAGGCAATCTCTTCCAATACACTGTAAAGCCTCAAAAATCCAAAAGAAGGTCATTTATGACCACCGCAATGAGAGAGAGAGAATTCTTATTCTCCTGACTGATATGGGGCTTCTAGAAGGATCTTATATATTTGTATCCCTGGTGCAATGGCTTTGAGTTTCCAGTGGATTTTTGTCACTTGTTTATGAGCCTCTATTTTCCCCCACCCCCTTCCCTTATTCTCCCTGATTCACTTCCACCTGAATGATTGTCACTGACAGGTTTCAGAAGTCTGTTACCATGATCTGGGGAAGGCAATTCCCTCTCTTGGCTTAGATATTGTTCCCTGGATGATACATCTGATACAATTTTTTAAAAATGCATCCAATTAAGCCTTCCTCATCCAAGATGGATAGACAAGGTGACTGTAATAATGGTGTCAAGTACATGGGAGCTCTTTATGGCACAGGATAGGATAAGGTTCTATTTTTCTGTTTTTCATGGACTTTGCTATGAGTTGTAGCCCATTTGATGGCACAACCACTCAAGCTTGCTTCCTACATCTTTTCACTTGTTGCTTTAACTTGAGTGCAAAATGGTTTTGCTCACAAATGTTCTGAAGACTTCTGTAGATCATTCCCCAATATGTTTGAACCAATTCTAGGCCCATCTGTTATGCATTCCATTCTTTCTTAACAATGTCCAATTTTCTTACATCCATGCTTCTCACATTCCACGTCCCAATCAATAGTGTCTACTTACAATTGTTTCTCCTCCTTTGTGTTTCCATATTTGAGGGCTCAGCTCAGCCACCATATCTACTAGTCTATCTGCTCTGTTGTACATTGGGTTTTCAAAGAAAGTCCTGTTATTTTGGAAGGGGATGGCCAATCCTTCTTCCTAATCTGTCTCAATTTGAAAGCTCAGATTTAGAACAGTATGTGACAGACGAACAATTTACAGAAAGGAGTAAATGAAAGACATTTCCCAATTAAAGAGGCAACGAATAGACTCAGTGTTGCTCCCTGCCCTTGGTATGTATGTCTTGACCTATCCCTTTCCCTGCTCCACCAGAATCATCTTCAACTCTCACTTACACCATTCAACACCTCCCTCCCCCTGTCCAGCCCTTGATATGATGGCTTGGGTCTAAAGCTTCTGTATATAGTCGTCTATGGTATATTTGCACTCTTCTCCAGCACCACAGCTCAATGGCTTCAATTACCTTCTATCATCCCTAATCATTGTCCAGCTTTCTAATTCATAGCAAGTAATTGTGAAGAGCATGGCCTGGATCAGACACACCTTGCTCTTCAGTACTCTGGAGAGGTCCTTGACAGCATATTTTCCCAATGCAATTCAACTTTTGATTTCCTGGCTGCTGGGAGAACAAACAGGCTCATTCTGGAGAGGATGAAACCAGGCTGATCCTTGGACGCAAGGATTCTGAAGCTCCATCTGACATATGGCGGGCATGTTGCAAGGAGGGATCAGTCTTTGGAGAGGGGCATCATGCTTGGGAGGGTGGAGGGACAGCGCAAGAGAGAAAGATCCGCTAAGAGATGGATTGAGTGAGTGACTAAGGTAATGGCGCTAGGTATGTCATACACAATAAGGTAGCTCAGGATAGACCAGGGTTCAGAGCCGTTGTACACAGGATCGCTATGAGTAGCAAGCGACTCGACGGCACATAACAACAACAATAGGCCTATATGCTCAGACTCTTCATTTCCAGGACTTGTCTAGTTTCCACTCTTTTTCAGTGAAAAGAACTTGGGGCCTTCCAATGATCCCAGAGCCTTGACTTGGTAGATCCCGTTTGCTCACCCTAGAGGGCGCACTGTTTACATTTTCCGAAAGTAATGAGGCCGCGCTCGCTCCCAGGCTCCATAAAAGGGGAGGAGGCGGGCCCGTTTCCCTCTCTCATTGAGAAAGAAGAGGATTGGAAGGCCGGGCATATAAAGCCGCGCAGAGAGCGTGAAACAAAGCAGTCGGATCGGAATTGGACTTGGGAAGCTAGGTGTGGAGTCAGGCAGAAAACTTGTTGGAAGGGAGTAACGAGTCGGCTCCTCTCGCTCCCTCCCCCGTCTGCGCCGCGCTTCTGGGGTTCCCACCAGCCTTGCGATTTTTCTTATCTGTTTCTTAGAGAAAATACAATTTTCCCCCCTAAGAGAAAATTCCTGTTCACAGAGAAAATAAGGCAAGATCAATGAAGGAGAGAAGAGCCAGCCAGAAATTATCCAGTAAATCTATCATGGATCCTAATCAGAACGTGAAATGCAAGATAGTAGTGGTGGGAGACAGTCAGTGTGGGAAGACGGCGCTGCTGCATGTGTTCGCCAAGGACTGCTTCCCCGAGGTGAGTGCGCTTGGCCGGGCTGCGCGTCCAGGGTGGCTCCTTCGTGCACCCCTCTCTATTTCTTAAAAAGTCATCTTTCTCACTCCTTACTACTTTCCCCTCGTTCGGCTGCCGGGAGAGGGAAAGTGAGCTGGAAGCATTTAGGGGTTGGGACGCGATGGCACAATTGGTGGCGTCTGAAACTTGGCCTTTCATGTGTGTGTGGAACCCTGGGGGTTGGGAGATTTGGGTCAAAACGTCTCCCGGAGCGGGCAGGGGACGGCGAGGCTCAGAGAAAGGATGTGGGAAAGGGTGCACGAGTTTTTAAAATTTTTTCATAAAAGAGACCAATCCCAAACCTGGGGTCCTGGGAAGGAGATTTTCTTAGGGCGTCTGCGGGCTTCGTGGATTTTAAGCTAATCTCTCTGCTTTCTCTCCTTCCTTATCTCTCTTCTTTGCTCAGAATTACGTCCCAACAGTGTTTGAGAATTACACAGCCAGTTTTGAAATCGACACACAAAGGATAGAGTTGAGCCTGTGGGACACTTCGGGTAAGCGCGTCTTGGGGTCGCGTGGCGTTGGGGGCGGGCATGCTTCCTTCCAGCTGCTCCGGGTGCGCGGCGGTGCCCGGGACCTCGAGCCTGGGAGCGTTCTGCTTTGACCTGCGTCTCCCGGCGCCAGGGCCCAGGTTAACTTTGCCCCCTCTGAAAGATTCCCACGTTCCCCGCTGGGTGACAACTGTGGCCGTTCTGAGTGAGGGGAGGGGCGGGGAGGTGGTAGAGTGCGGGTAGGAGGGGGGCATTGTGCCTGCGGAGTGACCGCGCGGCTGGAGCCGCCAGTGGCGGGGCAGCAGGGGGTTGTCACGCCGTGGGGACGTGCCTGAATCGCCTGGGGGGGGAGTAACCAAAGAGGTGGGGGGTTCGGGGCGGGGGGGGCGTGTGTGCGCTGCTGCGGAACTCGAGGCTTGGAGAGGGCTGGTGGTTGGAGCGGCCGTGCCCGGGCCGGGGTGGTGAAGAAGGGAGAAATCCCCGCCGCGACGCGGTACGTGCGGAATTCGCGCTTGGGGAGAGTACGGTGAGCGCGGGCGGCCCGGTGCGCGTGACGTGACCGCTGCGCGGAGTGCGCAGGCGGCGAGGGCCGCGCGGGGAGCGGCAGGGTTCCCCGGCTTCGCTGCGTGCAATCCCCGGTCTACTCCCGGAGCTGCGGGCCTGCCTGCTGCCTCCGTGCTGACCTGCCCGCCGAGCCCCCTGCGTCCACGCGCTTCCCGGTCCACGCCATCCCCTCCTGACTCCTAATGCATCACCGCCTGCCAGCCCGGCCGCCAGCCGCGTTCTTCGCCTTTGACCTTGTTGTCCAGTTGAATTATTGCACCCGTCGGGGGTTCTTTTTCAAAGGTCGTGGGGTTCAAGGCCGGGGTTAGTGCCTTCCCATGCTCCCGCCTCCCAACCTTTCTCGCGAGGGCGGAGAGGGCCAGGATACCCCCTAGCAGGAAGGCTCCAAATCGCGGCGAGTTCAGGGCCAAGTCCCGCATGTTGGGGCCAGGAGACGCGATCCTGGAGGCTTGGGCCGGGACCCAGACACCCGCCACCCCTCCAGCCCTGCCTGGGGGCCGGAGTGCCGGCTTCCAGGAAGGCTGCCGCCCCAGAAGGAGGAGCTTGTAGGAAGGCCCAGTGAAGCCCCTTTAAGCTTAAGTCTGGGAGGTTTAGGAGGGGGTTGGGCTGCAGCAAGTGAACTCAGCCAAAATTGTAGCGAAACTAGCGACACAAGTGCCAGCACGCAGGTTTTGCTGTTAGGCGAGGAGGTGGGGCCCCGGAGGTGGAGCTACGTTCTGCTGGGAGGGGCTTCCAGGGGGTGCTTCTGTGCACTCCACAACCCCTGGCCTGAACCTCTGGTGTCCCAGAAAGATTTGAGCTAAAGGAAGGAACCAGACCCACCGGGTCGCCAGAGGCCGTCTCTCCACAAAAGCTACACATGAGCGCCTCTCATGGTCCATGCATGCCAAACGCTCAGACTTCCTTCAGCCTTGCCATGGGCAGCGGGGCCACCAGGATCTCTTTTTGTTCCGGACATTCCACACACACTCCCTCTTCTCCAGAAGGTGGTGATACATGGAGCCTAGTGCTTATTTACTTAAGAAAGGAATTCCTGTCCTGGGAATCCTTACACAGCCTGGTACTTAATGACAAATGAGAGAGGACAGTTCCTATCAATAATTAGCTCCTGTACTTTGCCCCTCCCAGGCTCTCTTTGAACTCAGTGTGTGTTGAGATTATTTAAACCTGGGGGGGGGCTCTTACGTCTGATCCAGATGTCTGTGTTACCTGTATAACCTCTAGAACCTCATACAGCCCTAGGGGTTGGTACACCATATTAGTCCTATCTTTGCGTTTCACAGTTGACTGACTTTAGTTCATGGTCATGGTTGATCTGGCCTGTGAAGCTGGGTAGATCCAGTCTTCATGAAAGACTAGGGAGTCTTACAGATGGGGTGAAGGAATGAGTTGGGCTATCCCTGTCTCAAACTTCAAATATCACAGGACCACCAACAGAGAAAGAGGAACACATTTCCAAAACCAGAAAATAATACTTTTTAAAAAAAGAGGTCAGAAAAGTAATGAACAGTTTGTAATTGAAGGTGATCCTTTCCATATTCAAATAAGTGTAATTTCAGATATTGTCAAGTATTTCATGAAAAATACAATGTGTTGTCAACGCACACAGTAGGCACCCAGTCGCATCTGTTGAGTGAAGACAAGCATAATGATATGCCTAGTTGCCATGGAGATGAGGACACTTTCTGGCATTTATCATCACTGAATTACCTGTGCACAAAGAATGGCAAATTTACAAACACTGTTTCTCATCAAATTAAAGATAATCACCTGAAATGAAGTCTGTGGTGAAATAATCACTTGTATTTTTATTTAATGAAACAACAGCCCATACACACTCAACTGGAAACATAAAGGTTTGAAAACTATGATTAAGAAAATACTGCACTGCAAAATTAACCAGTAATGAAATCATGGTTGGAATACAGATTTTATACAAATGAAAAAGAGGCATAAGGGAGTTATTTCAAATTCTACTATGTCGTCCTTGAGGTGAAATGTTAGTTAATTAAACACAGTTATCAGATATTCCACCAAAAATGTGTTGTCTTTCATAAACAAAATGCATCTAACAAGAGCCAATGCATCAGTGACTAATCATTTCCAGTATCTTTAACATTTTTCCATTTCATCTTAAGTTTTCCCTGACAAATTTCTGAACAGGATTATTTTCTGACAAATGTTTGACGTTTTCTTTGCCCACTAAGACTTTTGTTTAGTTCAGATTGTGAAAATAATTGCATGTGCCTTATGCCTCTTGAGACATTTATTATTTCCAACTGCCAACAAATTAACTCTGAGCCAAGCCTCAAGTCCTAACTCACATTTTCACTTTCCTCTTCCTAGGACTTTTGTGAAAGTTTATGATTTCTATAGGGGAAACTTGATGTGCTTACTTGTCTTGTCTCACTTAGGGAGAGCGATGGCATAAACTATTTTACTTTGTCTGGTACATGAGTCCTCTTAGTCTTCTAGCAGAGGGACAACTACTTGGGTAAACGACTTCTCTCCCCTTCCTGACTTCTAGAGTCCAGCAACATCTAGAAGGGGATTGTAACCCCCTACCAAAATGATGTGGAGCAAGACTGCCAAAGTGATGTGGCAGAGAACAAAGTGAAAATGTAGAGTGTGCAGGACCCATTTGCAACAAGCAAAACCAGTAAAAACTGGTTTGCCCTGGAGCTGTTTCCAACTCATAGTGACCTCATGTGTATCAGGGCAGAACTGTGTGTGCTCCATGGAGTTGTCCTTGGCTAAATTCCTCAGAATTAGTTTGCCAGGTTTTTCTTCTGAGGCCCGTCTGTGTGGACTTGAACTTTGTAAACTTCTGATTAGCATCCAAGTACTTTAGCGATTTCACCACCCAGACTCCTTCCATAAGTGAGAAGGAAGTAATTCATGTTTTCCTTTTGATGGCTCAATAACTTAAATTCCTGGTGCTTCTCTGTCTCTTCAATGCCTTTCTGCACCTTCTAGTGTGTACATCCTTTGTTAAACCCTAAGATAGAGTAAAGCATGGGCCTGCCCTGAAGAATATTACAGTCTAGTTGGGTTGGTGAGGCTGAGAATGAAAGGAGGAAGTTGTCCTCGCTTACTGTAACTCATTGTATACTTATTTTGTTGTTGTTATGTGCCGTCCAGTTAATTATGACTCACAGTGACCCTGTGACCAGTGAATCTGAACTTTGCCCTATTCTGAGCCAACCTCCCTGTTTCTGACATAGCTGACCACATTGCCACAGCCACTGAGTCAAACCATAAGGATCCTAATTGCCGTTGAGTTCAAGCATACTCTAATACCTGGTTGTGTTCTTTGAGATATATATATATATACACACACACACACACATTTTCCCACTCTCCACTGCCATCTAGTTATCCTACTCAGTGACTCTATGAAGGACGGGAACAGAGGTGGCTTATAGAATTGCCAAGGCTGACTCTTTGTGAGAACACTTCTCATCCTTTTTTCCCTGAGAGTGACTGGTGGGTTCAAACTTTTTTTTTTGTTTTTTTTGTTATGTGTTGTTGAGGCTGAACTGACCCATAACTGACCCTCCATTGGATTTTCAGAGGTTATAAATTTCATGGAAGGAGATTGCTGTCCAACGTTCTCCGATGGAGCAGCTGGTGGATTTGAACCACGTGCCTTTGGATTGGCACCACAGTCCTTTACCAGTATGCCACCAGAGCTCCCTATCAGCCTTTTAGTGAAGAGTTACCTATTCTCTCAGGTTAAGCAACAGCTTCATTCCACTGCCCTGTGCTTACACCAAGCAGCCACAGTATTGAGATGATTGCTTATGGCTGCTTCCAAGTATTTTGGCCCCTAAGATGCAAACAAAACTGTTTTTAAAGGGAAAAATGTGCTGTGCATATGCTAAGATTTGTGTCAGGTTAGTTTTTAGATGAAGGTCCAAAATGTCTCGATTTTACTGGAAAAGATTCCTTTCTCACTATAAAGATGAATATTTTCATTAGTAGTTGTGGAAATGCTAATGATTCTCAATGAAGCCCAGTGAGTTTCTTTTTTTTTTTTCCCCCAGTGAGTTTCTACAAAACAATGGATAATGGCTTCAACATTTTGAAGTGATAAATGAGACCAAAGTAATTCTATCATCTTAGGCTTCAAACTCTGCCACATTGGCCAAGCAGAGGAATAATTTGTAGTATGAAGCCAAATGCCTGCTAATAATAGAAACTTAGTCATTGAAGAATCACCATATCTTTTCCTAAGAGATTTGATTGCAGTGTAATTTCAGCACATGTGATTTAGGGAGTAATAATCACTCATGCCAGCTTGTAGCCAAGGCAAGTTAATGCACATTTTATTTAAGGCATATTATTAAAAGCCTTTTAAAATATTCAGTTCAGCTGTTAGAATTTCCCCACAATAATTCTGCTATTGTCTTATGAACACTCTTTTGAATCTTGTCATG